TCTTGTGGAAAACTACTAACTACCATTTGAATTGAATGTATGTTTATTCCCTTGGTCTATGGCAGCCTTGTATTTGTAGCTTTCTCATACCTAAATTAGCTGTCTAGAATTCCAGTTCTTCATTTCAAAATTGTCTTTCTTATCCAAAAACAAATCAAAATTGTCCTAAAAATATGCTTCATTTAGAATTGTTCGATTACAAAAGAAAATAAAAGCAAAAYTGTCTTTGGAAAGTATTAGAAAAAATACTTGATTTAACAAACACAACTTTAAAACGCATTTTACCAAACATTAAATTAAACTAGTTGGTTTGTTAGGTAAGTTTTCAAAGGGAAATATTTAAATATTGAATGATCATATAAATTGAGAGTCCAGTAGCAAGGTTTGGTACAGGGTTTAGGTGGAATATGGGAATGATTACATGGTTGATCCAGAGCATCCATATTCCCTATTATTAGAGGCTCTTAAGACTTTTGTTATTTAATTGTTATGATACAAATATTTCCCATGTGAAAAATCTAATGTCTAGCCGTGTTTCAACTAAGGATTTAAATCATTTAATTTTGTAGCAGTAGGCGTCACATTTTGACTAATTTTGTTTAGTCATTCATCACAATTTGACTTGTGTGTTCGGCCCAAAATAAAGGATGAGCTAACACAATCGGTCTTGATTTGCCATGAAATCTTTTAACTTGCCCATGTAAAAAATTAGGTGATTCTAAGTAAGGCGCTGTTAATTAACGGACAAGGGTTGGGGCAGGTTAGACCCAGTAGTCTTGATTGAATAAATAAATGTATAGAACCAAGAACCAGTCCAAAAACCCTTACAGGTCTAATTCAGAGCAATTATTAATCTAGACTATCAGGTCTAACTCAACAAGACTATTATTATTAGGACATGCTATCAAAGCCTAGAATAGACTTAAGGACACATGATAAGAATCCATGCCCTATATGATTGGGTTAGTTAAGTTCCAATGGATCTACTCGATTCATTAACAGCCCTACCACAGCATAAATGTTTGAAATGACTGAGTGGGTGTTTGGTTTTATGGTAATACACCATGTTGTGTTGAGGCGTTCGATTGACTTGTAATATGGATTGATCCATACTATCTCATGAATTAATCTATATCATAGGTCAATTTCTCGTTCACAGGCCCATATATGTAAGCACAGGCCAACCGAACGCCTCAACCAATCACACCATAGACCAATTTTTTATAGAAAAAATTCAAACATTTGAAACCCCACAAACATGTTGCACATTCCATATTTTTCCAATTTGATCAAAGTTTAAGACAGAACCCTTTGCCAATAAATGTTTAGGTTATATTCGGTTTGAAGGAAAATGTAGGAAAAGGATAAGAAAGTGGAGGTTTTAATGTTTGTGGAAACCAATGGAAATTTAAGTCGAATGATTATTAAAACAAATAAATCATCTGACTTATTAAAGAGGTCATTATTGATACCTACCGGCCACTCATCTCATCCATTCAATTAATTAATTGATTAATTAAATAACCTTCACAAATCATAAATGTCCATTCTACCGTTCTACGTATATTTGACCCAACCAAAGATTATATATATAAGTAGAAAATCCTTGGTCAATCCCCATCTTCGTGGTCGTAAATTTCAAGCGAAACATGGATCTTACTATAAAGAGGAATCGCGTGGTTGGAACTTGAGCGGGACCCACTAGTTAGAAATTGGAACAGACTTTGATGAACTGAATGCATCATCTGTACTCCATTTTTCTTAAATCGATTGAAGAGGCTTTACCAAACATTTGAAGGGGGAGTTCACATCCCACCGACCTTGTATTATGTGCTGTGGGGACTGGGGCATTGTGGGGCGCTGATGTGAACGGGCCTCCTACCACCTCAGGCCCGTAATAAATGCCAGATACTTTTGTAGGCCAACCAAGAAAATTTTGACTTCTTATTTGTAAACTTGGAACCATCTCCATTATCCATGGACTTCTGGTTATGGGCCGGTCCATCCCGATTGATGGATGTAAATACACCCGCAGAACTATTCCAATTCCATGGACCAGATCGATTACCCATGTACCAACTTACATCTCTAATATTGTTGCTATTATTATACGTTACTCTTTTTCTACAGTGCTTCTTTACGAAGGAAACGACGTGACAGAGGATGACACAACACAACGTTCCTCAGTCATTGTTCTCATGTGGCCCACCTGTTAATCAATCCAGTCCACTATTCAATAGACACGTGTCCCTGCATTCTTAATTAAAAAGTATTAAACGGCCACGTGTCAAAAGGCTGCAGTTCGAAAAAAGCCTCCTATTAATTTACGTAAATATAACTTTTTATCTATTTTTATTAAATAAATTGTTTTTTAAAATGATTTGTTCTCATTTCTCAGTTCGCAGTTCTCACCCACCAACTGAAGATTAGTAAAGGGAAGTGGGTCACAAACAATGATGGGAACGAAGAAGGCGAGCACAATGTACTGTACCGGTCGTGAGGACTGGAGAGAGAGAGTTCGGGGCATCTCGGGAGTCGGGACACGTACGTAAGTCTTACACGCCAAAATCGATATCGTGGACGCAGCTCTGCCGCTGGCCCGCTTCTGCCACTGGCGTCTCTCTGCTTTTACCGATCCAAACCTCCATCATCCCACTAACGCCACACGTGTGAACAAATCTGATCCAATCAGTGAACGTGCGGGCCCCACGCTTCCAGGAGGAAGATGTCGTACGCGGGCAATTGCCGTTAATGTGCGTTTTTAAGTGAGACTTTCTGGGGACTTGCTCAGCAGCTCCAAATCCGAGACGGGAGAGGGAAACCGTAAGGAAGACTGGACTGGTAGAGTAGTTATTAAAAAGAGAGAAAGAAAGAGAGAGAGAGAGAGAGAGAGAGAGAGAGAGAGAGAGAGAGAAAAAGAAAGAAAGAAAAGAAAGGAGCAGAAGAGAATACAGGGGAAGAAGAGAACTGTTTTTAGGTGGGAGTTGGACCCCATCTTCTCTTGCATTCCACGGTTGCATTAGTTTGTCTCTGTCTTTCTGTCTGTTTCTCTCTCTCTCTCTCTCTCACTATCTTTTGTTCTTATTTGGTAGTCAAAGAGGTGGGAGATCAAGGAGAGTTGCAGACTGAGGAGAGGATATCTCAGTGCTAATTTTGTTTCAAGGATCGATTGTTTTTGTTTTGATCTTAGTTTATTCAGTGGTTGAGTGAGACAGATGGGAAGCTGCATTTCGAGACAGGGAGGGTATATGGGTAGGCGATCCAGTTCTTCGAAGAGGTCTCGTAAGCGGAGAAGAATAATCAAGGGAGTTTCTTCTCGGAAGTCAAGGGAATTGGTCGACAAGGTGACCAACCAACCCGATCGTTCTTACAGTAATCCGGCTTTCCGAGGTTGTAGCTTTTCTTCCCTCTTTCTTACAGTAATCCGGATTTCCAGGAGGTCACCGTTTTTTTCCGTTAGTTGGTTTTTTGTCCCGAGAGTTCTGTGTTTTGTGTTTGGTTTCACGATTTCTGTGTGGTGTATCATGCTGTTTGAGAGGCTATTACTTGTGTCTCGGGTTGAATTGTTGGGAGAGGAAACTTTTTAGTATATTTATTGCGGAAGACCTCCTGCATTACTCCTGAAGTGAATTATTCCTCATTTGGGAGGGTTTAAGTATAATTCTGGAAAGAAAAAACGTATACTCTGACAATGTGCCTCCTGATGATTTTATCTTATAATAGGGATAATTCTGAGTCCTTTATTTTAGATCCTACTAGATTCAATCTTACTATGTAAGGGGAGTTTTTCCCCAGAAAGCAGAAAAAAACTGGTAATTTCATTAGTCTATGCGTTTGGAATTACGATCTTCTTCTAGAGGGATCTTTCACTTTTAGATGAGAGAGACGAAAGGGGTCAGAAACATTTCGTCACTCGCCAGCATCATCATTTGTCTGTTATATAATCTTGATCTCCGTTGTCTTCGAAGTTACTGGAACATCTTGCAGAACCACATTGATCATGGCCATGGTCTGAAGCTTCGCTTTCATTTGGCATTTTGCCAGGATCAATGGGAAAATTTCAGGAAGTTTTGTAAATTTCACTCAGAAATCTGGAAAATATGGGGAAATTGGAAGTTATTAAAAAATTATAATACATGAAATTTATTATAAAACTTAAGGCTGTGTTTGGTTGCAATGCAAATTTATTTGCACTAGTACAAATATATGGGAGTGCAAATGTAAAAAAATGCAAATTCTTGTTTAACTTTGTTGTGGATTTTACTTTATTCTGCTTCATGTCTTAATTTACTTCATTTGTACTGCAATCAAAATAAGCTAAAATTTGAAACAAAAATAGGTCAGAATTTACGCTCAAATCATTTGCATTGCCATGGTTTTGCATCAGTGCAAATTTATATGCATTGCAACCAAACGCAGCCTAAAGAAATGCAATAGATATATACCTATACACTCAAATCCCTGAAAAACAAATAACAATCCACTATATACAACAAACTATAAAAGATTAAAGATCCTAAGCCAGATGTTGGCAGTCTGATATCATGTCTTTATGCTGAATCTGAAAGTGGATTCTTTGTTTATTATGTTATCCTTATACACTTTTCCTGCTTCTTTTATACCTAGCATAAGCAACGTAGCAAGGATACTCCTCTGAAATTTTGTCTGTGGTAGACACTATATCGTGTAGGACCAATTTCTGATGCCCAAACATGTATTCTGAAGCAAATGATGTATCCTGAAACCTGAAAGGACCATGCCAACCATCTCTTATTTGTGTTTGACATGAGGCATGGGGAAACCTTCTTTCTTAGTGGTTCAGTGGTCAGTATTCTAAGAGAACTGATATGAATTTGGATCATTTAGCATGCAGGCAGATAAAGTAATTTTTGAAACAAACCTTAGTAACTGCTTGAGTTTTTTAGTGTGAAGAAGTTTAGACACTAGCACACCTTTCCCACCATGCATTTTTTTGGGATGTCATATATAAATGTTACATGAACCTGAAATGACTGTTTTTGCAGAATCCAGGCCTGGATAATTACACCTTTGACTCTAGAGAATCATGCTGAAAAAGCATATTATGACATCATGAACTACCTATATATTTTTGTTTTAAACCACCTAAATAGTTTTGTTACTGGAATGGGATGTGAGATGAACTCGTATATGTGAAGGTAGATGTCTGGTACACAATTTAGATAGTTCAACCATATGGATATGTGCTCTTTTGTTTCTTGGACAAATGAACGATTTGGAATTCTTAAGGCAGAATCTAGTCAGTGATGCAACATTGGTTGAGTAATCAAAAGAATAACTCATTAGAAAAGTATAGATGCACAGAGAGAGAGGGGGGCATTTTAGTGCAAATAACATCCACAATTTACACCAAAAGAGAAAACTAGATACACACACACACACACACAAAGGAATAGATATCCTTCTGTCCCGACTCTAGAGACAGTTTAGAGTACTGATAACTGATGATTTAAGGAGAAGTTTTCTTTTCAATCCTTTTATTAATATTGTTTTGTAACTCATGTTCTCCCTGCATCTTGTTTCATCATTGAATGTTTGAACTCCAAAGTCCTCCCTCACTGGTAAATTTTAATCTGTTGCTGCTATTAACCTTTTGCATGTTTTTTCTTTATTATTAATTATTATTATTATTATTATGTTTATGTTTATGATTATTACTATTATTACGATCATCGTTGGACATATATTTGTTGTAACAACTTTTAATTAACCACAGAAACCATATTGGTTTTCTTATTTATGGTCTTGACCTGATTTTTGTTACAATGTAGTGGTGTCAGCTGGCAGTACTGAGGAGACATGGTTTGATTCTTTCATGATACTTGAGTCTGACTGTGATGAGGATTTCCATAGTGTTCAGGATGGTATGGATGTGAAGCTAGTTAAGCTTTTATTTGACTTTCTAAATTATTAAAGATTCTGCTTTATTGAGCTATGAACATTTTCCAATCCTACAGATGCTTTGTCTCTAAATGGCTCTGAGTGTGCATCAGCATCAAGTATTTCATCATTAAGAGATGCTAATCATGAAGACTGTAATGGGAATTTTCCTTGTATTCCTCCACGAAATTCTCTTAGTGAGGCCACTAAAAATGAAAATTCTCGAACATTGCATTCAAATAGTGCTGATTCTCAATTGAAATCTGATGGCCCCATAAATGAAGGAAAGCGTCCTGTGTCTATTGATGAAGTTTCTAGCATCTCTGTGGATGAAATCACTGGGAGGGGGGAAGGAGGAATATTAGACCATTGTGGAATTCTTCCAAATACATGCTTGCCTTGTCTTGCTTCTACTGTCTCAGATGAAAAGAGAAGATCTCTAAGTCCTGGACCACCAAGTACAAGGAGAAAGGCTTCTTTGAAACTTTCCTTCAAATGGAGGGAAGGACATGGAAATCCTACATTATGTGAGTTTCAGAAGATCTGTAACTAATTTTTTTCTTATAATTTTATTGCTTGTCAAACATTTACATTTACTTTTATATCAAGGTTAGTTAATATTATCATTACACTTGTTTGTAATTTGCAGATCATGATATGATCCATTCACATTTTGCATCAATACTGTCTGGTTTAATGTATAGTCTGCTATGGCCACCTTATAAGATCAAATTGGGGGTATTTCATATCATGCTTTGAAACTTCCATCCATATTCAATAATTTGAAATCAAGCTTAAATCAACTGCTATGACTTTAGTAGCTTGACAATAGAAGCCACCTTTCTTCTTTTTATGTTACAGGGTAACTAATTTCCACCAAGTTTCAGATTAAGATCTGATATGTATAAATATTAATTACATTAATGTTTGGATAAGTGTAAAATAGAAGCTACAAAATGCTAAATACCCAATTTGGCTCTATGGTACAACTTACATGGACTTGAAAGAGAAGATATAAGGATGCATCATGAATTTCTCTAGGATTGCTTTGACATAATAGCGTTATCTTCATGCTCATATAAAATCAAATTATGGTTTGGAGGGTGGAGTGACAATTGAAATGAGGAATTCTAGGAAGTAACACCAAAATTACAGGCATTAATTACTGCTACAGAAATGGGGGTCCCATTTTAACTAGGTTGACATGCTTTTGCACTGATTGTACCTTATCTGCATTGTAGGCAAAGGTGTTTTGCACCTTCCTTTTCATTCTAGCATCCCTTTTACTATATCAGTGTTTCAGACATGATATTTTTTTTTGTTTTTTTGAGAAAGAGATTGTGTGGATAAAGGATTTCCTGGTGGAAAGAACTTCATAGGCTGCCATTACATAAGCATAGTACCATTTTGACTCGTTGTACTTGACTTGCTTTCTAGTAGTCCTTTTACTCTATCGGTGTCCGGGAGTTTATTTAACCCTCTTAACAAATTCTTGAGACTTGGCATACTGTTTCCTCAAGGGATATTGACACACTACTTTTGTTCCATGTTTTCTATGAGTTCCTGCATGAATCATTGTAGTTTCTGGGTCCTAATAAGTAATATATATAAATTGTTGACATCTTGCTTGGAGCTGTATTAGGTTGAAAAAATAAAAACTTATACTGTTCACATTTCTGCCTCAGTATCTTCAAAGATGCTTCTGCAAAGACCAAGAGCTGGTTCCCAAGTTCCATTTTGCCCAATAGATAAGAAAATGTCTGATTGCTGGTCAAATGTTGACCCTAGTACTTTCAAAGTGCGGGGAGAGAACTATTTTAGGTAAGATGTGCCCTTTGTTTTATATTTCTTTGTAACTCTATTTATAATTTCTTGATGGCTTGCAGTCATGTGAAGACTGCAAGTCTGCACTGTGTTCGAAGAACTTGTTATTTTTTATTTCTATTGTAGTGTCTGAAGCCTGAACACCCCACTATAATATTATTTGGTCTAACTTTTGTGGCAGGGATAAGAAGAAAGAGTTTGCTCCAAATCATGCTGCATATTATCCATTTGGGGTTGATGTCTTCTTATCTCCACGAAAAATTGATCACATTGCTCGGTTTGTGGACCTACCTTCTACAACTGCATCTGGAAAATTGCCTCCTATTCTTGTTGTAAATATTCAGGTATTCTTACTTTTCACTCTTGGTAACTTTACTCATGACCATTATTTCATTTTGGTCTTGTTCAAACTCATTAGAGACATTTAATGAAAAGGCATCTTCCTGAAAAGTAGTAATACTTCCAACCCTATGACAGTTTTTTTCCCCTCATTTTCCTTGAATTTCTTTCTAATAAAATTTATGTCCAAGTTTAGTTTGAAAAAAATCTTGAAGTGATCATCTTCTAGGAGAATTGGAAATTTTTCATATTTTCCTTTCCTAAGCTGGCAGGTTTATGATAATGACATTATTAAACAAAAGGTATATAATATACAAGAAGAGAAGTTATTGTGATATTAACTTGTTTATATGGTTTCTGCAGGTTCCGTTGTATCCTGCCACTCTCTTTCAAAATGAAACTGATGGAGAAGGGATGAGCTTTGTTTTGTACTTTAGGCTTTCAGAGAATTATTCTAGAGAACTTACACCTCATTTTCAAGAAAATATCAGAGTATGTTAGGCCTATTGCAATTTTATGCTTCCACTCTTTATATCTTTAGAGCTGCTTTAACAATTTGTTGCATATGGTAACAAATTTCAAAATTTGTCATGTTTGTATTAGTGAAGAAAATCCTATGTGCTTCTGCCACTAAGTTTTGAGTGTCAGTTTAGAATTTTAATGTAATATATAGAAATCCTTTGGTTTTATAAGTTTATTCATTTATTTGTGATTTGCTAGTTTTACCCAGTTTTTTTTTTCTAGTTTATCATCATTTTTTCTTTCTGTAACAGAGGTTAATCGATGATGAAGTGGAAAAGATAAAAGGTTTTCCTGTGGATACAATTGTACCTTTCAGGGAAAGGTTAAAGATCTTGGGTCGCATGGTAAATGTAGAGGATCTGCATCTAGGTGCAACTGAGAGAAAGCTTATGCATGCTTACAACGAAAAACCTGTTCTTTCTCGTCCTCAACATGAATTTTACTCGGTAAGTTTATGTTCAATTGATCATATTAGGTTGCCGTCTTTCACACTTTCTTCTAATCATATTGGTAGGAATACTTAAGTTACTATTAATCTTGGGGTCTGCTAATTTTTCTCCTGGGGGAAGACAATGACAAAGATGACCTGAAATGAGGACAGTTGTTAAACATGTTGATCTAAATATTGATATTATCTCTGCCTCTTAATGTCTTTATAATGTATTCCCATAATTCAGTCTGTATTATCATTAATGTTTTGTTATCAGCATGTTCATTGCCATCATAGGTTTGGAAAACCTATGATCACTTATTATTGAAGAATTTTAGTCATTTAAAGAGGCAATTTCAGATATGGTTATTCTTTTTCTCTTTCTTTTTCTTTTTTTTTTTTTTTTTTTTTGCATTGTGTCTGTGTTTACAATAATTGATCATTCAAAGTGTGTTTATTGTCTAAGATACAATATGTTTTTTCCCCTTTTCTTTTTTCATTGTGAATTTCTATTTGAATGATTTTCATTCATCTGCAAACAACCAAGAAATTTCACTACACTGCACTTAGGTTGGTTTTTACTTCTTATAATTTGGAATCCTAATGCATAGCATAGTTGCCAAGAACTATAACTTATTGCACAGAAGCATACTAGGAAAATACTGGGTATTATCATCATATATTCCTTCTCAGGCATTGGTTATCTGAAATTGCAGGGAGAAAATTATTTTGAGATTGATTTGGATATGCACAGATTCAGTTACATCTCTAGGAAAGGCTTTGAACAATTCCAAGACAGACTGAAGCTCTGCATCTTGGATTTTGGCCTAACAATTCAAGTAAGTTACTCAGTTAAGACTGGTGCAACTTTAAAACTCTTCTACAATTAGATTCATCATTTAAGTCTAAATTTTATTGCAAAATTGTGTTGGGGACAGGGAAACAAAGCAGAAGACTTGCCAGAGCAGATCTTATGTTGTGTACGGTTGAACGAGATTAACTACACAAGTTACAACCAACTGGGGTTGGGTCAAGAGCCCCGTTGAGCAGAATAACTACTAAAAGCTTCTTTAATACAGACCGTTCAAGCTGGTTTTTACAGCCTCTTAAGTATACCAATTGCAGTTTTATGATATGCTGAATCTTCTTCAATTTCAACTTACACTTGGGTGGTTGCCGAGCTGTCACTAAACTGGCAGTTCAGTTTTCACTGCTGGGAATTTTGGAAGGAGAATGGATTATGGTAACTATTGGGGCCGATGGGATTGCGACCTTTGTTTATCCATAGAGAAGCTTATGATGCATGAATTCCATGTACAGGTTCCAGAAGGGTGATCTTTACTTGTCATTTTCTATTTTATACACCATGATAAAAAAAAAATGCGGCGATTAATGTGATGAGTTGCCCTTTTAACTTCTTTTCTATGTTTTCATACCAGTCTGAATTCACTGGATGAGGCCCCATTTTAGTGGATAAATCCAGTTATTAAGGAATGAATTTACAATATAGTTCTCATACAAGGACAATTCTGAATCCTGACCCGTGACAGTATAGGTCCTATAGGAAGTGCCTCAAAATCCTAGCTTTAATTGTTACTAGCGGGTCTGTGCGATGCACACGATGGGGCATTCCTCCCTGCCCTCGTAGTTAACACACTCTACATCATCCCTGCACTGTCCTTGGTGGTGGGGTGGGTTTGAGGTGAGGCACCCATTCCCTATTGGGGATGAAGAATCTCTAAATTTTTCTAATCTGAGGCAATCACCTAAAAACAATCTAATTCGTGGATATTTTACAAATAGGATATGGGAATTTGGGGGTATTTTAGGAATTGGATTATGACAATTTATGGGGTATTTTATAAATGGAATTGTGGGATCCTAGAATTATAAGAATATGATGAAAACTTAGAGATATTTTACAAATCAATATTAAATCTATTGATATTTTACTAATTTACCATTGGGTTTGAGGAATTATATGCAAAATTGTCATTTTCCCGTCCTTGATTTGGAGCAAAAATATTTTTCCCGTCCCATCCCCGCTTCTGATTTGGGGCAAAAATATTTTCCTCATCCCTTCCTCGTCCCTGAGTTAGAGCAAAAATATTTTCCTCGTCCCCACTCTATCTCTTAACCATTCCTATCTAAAATTCAAGAAAACTTGCCCCATTCAGGGTGGGGTAGGAGGGTAGGGCCCTAGTTTTATAGGGAAAATTTCCATCCTTACATTTCTAACAATTTTTTATAACTAATTAAATAACAATAAAATACAATAATATTTTACGATAATTTCCAAAAATTATTGAAATTGTTGTTGATTAGAAAAAATGTATAGTAAATTAGTTATTTACAATAACAATAAATGAATGTGAATTAATGTAAATTATTTACTTTTTAAGCCTAAATTATTTACTATTAATCAATGTAATGTAATTATAGTAAACTAATGTAATTATGATAAATTACATTAGTTTTAATTAAAAGTAAATAATTTGTTGTTAATTAATGTAAAGCTAGGAGTGGTTGAAGTCAACCAAGTGGTCTAGATCGGTGTGAATAGATTTAATAATTTTCCTTTATTATTTATTAAAATAATAATAATGCACTATTATTGAAATAAACATGAAACAATTTCTAATAGATTAATTTCCTAATTTTTTTAATAATTATTTAGTTGAATAATAATAATGGCCTATTATTTAAATAGTTTTGAAGAATTTTTCCTAAATTAATTTCCTAATATTTTAATTATTATTTATTAAAAAAGTATGGATTATTAGTTAAAGAGTTTACCTGAATTATTTGATAATTGTTACCTATAATTATTGATTTGTAGTAAATTACACCAATTAATAATATATTTTATGAATAAATAATTGTTGTAAATATTTATTAAATTAAAATGATTAATGTAAACTACAGTAAACATTAAAAATGTGAACATTTATTAATTAACCAATGGTTAGTTTTCACTAATGGTTGGTCAATCAAGTTTGAGTGACCAACTCCCTAACTCGACTAAATCAATTTGGCTAGCCAAACAATCTCCAACCAACTGAATTGCCTAGTGGATACTCCTAATTTCAACTAAATTAATAGTCTAATCTCTAATAAATAGCAATATTTTAATCTCCAATAATTATTGAAAATTTATAGCAAAAGTATACAAACTGTTGAAAATATATTTATATAGAAAATACAATAAATAACTAATAAAATTAAAAAGCTTTAACACCTCTAAGTTATTTAATCTATTTCCACTATTTCAATAATATTTATTTTGTCATTTATTTATATTTTATATTCTTCTTAAAGTTACTATAGAATTTTGTTACTTAATCTATTTTTTTTGTTTTCTAAATAATGTTTAAAATATGATTTAGTATTCAATTTTTTATATTAAAAACATTTAAAATTTATTTAAATTAGTATATAAAACATAAATAATTTTTAAAAAATAATATATAAAACATAAATAATACCTTGTCCCACCCCGTACAGGGCAAGTTTTCTTGAATCTTAAATAGGGACGGGGAAGAGATAGTGTGGGGATGGGGAAAATATTTTTGCTCCAAATCAAGGACAAGAAAGGGACAAGGTTTGCATATAATTCTCCAAACCCGATGGTAAATTAGTAAAATATCAATAGATTTAATATTGACTTTTAAAATATCTCTAAATTTTTCTTCATATTCTTTAATCCTAGGATCCCACAATTCTATTTATAAAATACCCCCAAATTGTCATAATCTAATTCCTAAAATACCCAAAATTTCCATAATCCTATTTGTAAAATATCTAAAAATTAGATTATTTTTAGGTGATTGCCTTGGGGTGGGGAAAATTTGGGGAATCCCCATCCCAGACGGGGAATGGGTGCCTCACCTCCAACCCGCCTTGCCACTAGGGATGGGGTAGAATGTCTTGACTATGGGAGCGAGGGATAGGGAAGGGTGCCACATCCCGTGCACTACATGGAGCCTCGCTAGTTATAATTACTTTTGTGCTTTTGATAATTTTCTTAAAGTTATAACATAATCTTGTTATTTAATCTATTTTTTGTTTTTTCAAATAAAATATAAGATATGATTTAGTTATTAATATTATTTAATTACTTAAATAATACTATTATTTAAAATTTTAAATTTTTTTAAATTTAATAATCCATGAAATTATAATTTATACTATTATTACATAATTTCATTATGTTAAATATTTAAAATTTAGTTATGTTAAAATTTTCATTATTTAAATAGTTAAATAATATGTAAAATATTTAATATTTTTTGTTATTTAAATTTTATTTCTTTAAAGTTATTATGTAATTTTAAATATTTTGTTACATAATATTTAGATATTTTTTAATATTAATAATAAATTAATTATGTAGCTATTTTTAGTAATAAGTTATTATGTAATAATAAATTACATAATTATTCAGCTATTTTTAATATTTTGTTATTTAAATGATTATTTATTTATTTTTAAATATTATTTAGTTATTAAATTGAATAGTTCATAAAATTATAATTTATATTGTTATTACATAATTTTATTATGAATTTCATAAAATATAAAAGTATTAATAATATGAATATTATTAAACCTATTACAATTATATATTATTTTTTGTTTTTAATAAATATTTTAAAGTTATTAAAATAATTTCATTATAATATTTAAATAATTGTTAATGTTTTAATTGAAACTTGCTTTAAATAGATATAGATGAAATGTGGGGGAGAGGATAAATAGGAATTAAAGATAACTTAGGAGATAAATATGAATTAGGGAGAGATAAAGATAATTTAGGAGAAAGTGGGGGATAGTTAGTTTCCTAATAAAAAGGAGAGGAATAAAAGGAGATAAGCCATGTTAGGTGGCAACTCCTAGTGCTTTTAGAGGGAATCTTGCACCCCTCTAGAATTGCTTGGTTTGGATAAGGGAGGAAGGAGAGGACTTCTGACATGGCAAGCTCTACTTTATTATATATATAGATTGATGAAAGGCTGTCAATTTTTGGTTGTCATATGGAATGTTTTATATACCAAATAATCTGCTTTTAGTTTTTTTTTTTACATCATAAAAACAGATACAACCGTTCTTTTTTTCTTTTTAATTTATATTATTTTTTGTTCATTCTCTTTTTGCTTTCTTTTTCTTTTTAAAAGGACTATAATAGGAGCTAGTCTAATTGTTGAAACATCCAATCGGACTCCTCTTTTTTAAAAGTCTGTTAAAAGAATATTTTAAGCATTACTGGTGATTAATGGCGAGAGTTCTGAGGTTTTCCCACATAAAAGGACAAGCATCTTTGGTATGATTTGGTAGGAAAGCCCACAAAGATGTTCATCCCACAAGTCGTTAAGCTCCTACAAGTGAGACCATTGACTTTGTCAATGACCCAAATAACCTAGTCAGTTGGACTAGATATTAATTTTCTGAATTTCTTTATTTTTTTTGTATTTTTATCCATTTATTAAGAAAGATTTTATTAGATGCATTTATTATTTAATAATTGATATCAAGAATAATTTAACAATGGATATGACATTAGATAGGACGGAGTTGTGAATGGGATTCATGTAACCGACCCCATACCACAAGGGTTAATACTTGGATGAGGATGAATACCTAATAGTGAAAATATCAATCTTTTTAAAAATTTTGTATTTTATCTATTTTTATATTTTACTATTTAATTATTATGATGTTGAGGTTAGCCTATTTTTAGGTTGGTTTTACAACAGTACTGATCTTGAATGGAACAGCCAAAATATCATAATTTAAAACAGAAACCTTTACGAGGTATGATGCTTTATAATATTCCAAATAGTTTATTAATTTTCTTAAAAGTGATGTAAGAAAATAATTAATTTCATGACCTACCCTACATCCTTTAACGGAAGACTCTTTGAGTGTGGCCAAGATATTTGGTACTATTGATGTTTCTACTTCAATGATGAGGACAAATTGGTGAGAGATATGTTTTGTCACATCAAAGATAAGCATCATTTAGAATGATTATTAACATTACTATTGCTGTTTCTACTTGAGATTGTCAATTTGATATTTCTACAAAGTACAAAGTATAAACAGTCTCCCACATACACATTTTATTTTATTTTTTATTTTCAGGTATGCATGTTTTAACCATAAATGTTTTTTTTTTCTCTATAAAAGATTCATTGAAGGAAATTAAGGGAACATTTGGGTCCCTTTCTTACAAGATTCCAAAAAAAGGCGACTTAAGTTTACCGAGCTAGCATTACTATTTACAAAAGAGTTTCTATGCCTAGCTTATTTTTCCACGTCATGGACTGGCATTACTAAGTTCCTGTTTACATGCAAAATTGTAATATTTTCAAAAAAAGAGAGAAGTTCATATATATGATCATATAAGGCTTACAAATTTCACGTAATATGCCTGTCTGTTCCTTTCAGCTTCATTAAAACCTCCTTGGCGTCCCAAAGCGAAAAACCTATTTTAATACCCATACAAAAAAACTTTCCTAAACCTCTAATCACTGCCTAGAGCTCAACTGCTACTGGTGATCTTGTCAAGCATGATTGTTCTTCTTCAATGATAAGAGAAGACATGTGAGAGAACATATGCATACTAGTGGATGCAGTTTGTGTGGTGGCACTCCAAGAACCATCCACTAAGATGATTGGGAGGTCTGTGAGGAGAGCTTGTTGCAAATTCCAATCTGATTGCAAATGTGGTGGATTCGAGATTTTGAGCTCAGATTCTTTATAGCTGCAGTAACTTTCAACCTTTCTCAGAATTTGGAGAGGGTCTGAATTCACTTTGTTAAAAATTTAATCATTTATTGTGTCCCATAAACTTCCGAAAGTGACACATATCTTTACAATATAATTATATTTTAGAACGTTATTTTGCAAATAAGAATTATGTTACCACCACCATTGGATCAGATTTTAACCATAAATGCTTAAAAACAACAATGGTACCCAAATAGTTGGTATGGGTATTTCTCCAATTAGTTGGTAAACAGTTGAGGAAGTTAATTCAATTTAATATTGATAACAAGAGTCCATCAGGTACAATAAATATTGATTTCAGCTGGCTCTGGTTGTTGTCATTGCCAAGTACCTTAGGCTGACTGCCAACGGGTCGGGTTTGGTTCTATATAGCGTGTAACTGTCCCAAACTAATTATTAATTGGGACAAAATCATAAACTCAGAACTAACTTTCTTATTAATCGAGATAATTGGGTCTGATCCAATTAAACTCGATTATACTGACATCTATAATTTTCTATATTAATAATAACTAAAAATTTCATAATAAAATAGTAAGTTGTTAATATATTAATAAATCAAGTGTTTTTAATTAAAATTATCTCATATATTATCTATCAAATCTATCTTTTTAGACATAAAATATATTAAAAATTACAAAAAAAAACTAGGAAACCTTTACATATTAATAATTCAACAATTGGTTTGGGTCTCAATCAATTTACAACATGCAAGAACCATAACTGGTTCAATTATTAATCAAAACAAAATCATACAATCAAAACCGATATAATCAATTCGGTAGAACCGACCCATTGACAGCCATATTACCTTACCTTTACTTAGCAAAGAATGAATAAATAAACAAGTAGGAATTTTTAAATACAATACCATACAAACAATTAAATTAAAATGGTTCCTAAAACAAATATGCATGAGAGATGATATGTTTTCTGTTCTTTAGTTGCCCTTTTCTTATTCCAGCTTCCCTTTAATTATTTAGCCTTATAATCTATTTTTTGTTACTTCATTAGAAAATTTTACCTGTTTCCCATTTCATTTCCTCTAGTTTGGAAATGTCATGGACTCGGAGAGGTTGCTTTCCAACAAATTAAAAGTTTGGGAACGTCAGTGGAGAATTTCCTTTTTCTTCTTTTAAATTTTAATTCAACTCATTTTTACTACAGTGCCAAGAGTTAGTCCATCATAATTAGCAAATTGAATTCTGCTCAGTGCTCACCCAAAATCCCCCCATTTTTAAATAGAAATCATGTATTATGCTCATTATGCCCAAGTATAGTGTAGAATGCAGAATTGCAGATACGTTGGGACAATGTGTATTTAAATTCAAATTTATATGCTTTTAAATAAAATTAAATATAACAAAAACCTATGCATTAATAGTTATAAAAATGTGTAAGAAATAAACATCTTGCATGTTGACTTGGTTTGTGGGTTTTAATGTACAAATATATCAAATCAACAATGTATTATTTAAAATTTATTTGTATTAATTTCTAACTAGCGGAGGGGCCCTGCTTCGTAGGGGTTGGAATGGAATCGTCAACCCGTTGATCCGGTCCCTGGCCAAAACCGTTGAATCGGTCAACGATCCATTGACTCAAGCGGTCGAATTATCAACCTGTTGACTCATCAAATGGTTTTTGGCCATTTTTTTATTTTTTTAATTGGGAACCATCCAGGCAACTGGTTCCGTTTTATCCTAATCTCGGTCCTTGGCCAAAAATCGTTGAATTGGTCAACGATCCATTGACTCGGGCGATCGAACCATTGACCCGTTCAATGGTTTTTGGTCGTTTTTTTATTTTTTTTATTTTTGTTGTTAGAATGGGCCATCCGTTCGAACTGAACATTCGAACCGTCGACTTGAAAACCAGTGGCCAGAATGATTCCATTTTCAGGCCGTATGAGTCACCCGCTCGAATGACATAACACATATGGTACTGCTTAATGGACCTCACACATTCAATTTTTTTGCTTGTAATTTTTGTTGTCAAAACGAGTCATCCATTTTTTTTTATTTTTTTTTTAATTAGGAACCGTCCAAGCAGCTAGTTCCGTTTAACCCCAATCCTGGTCCCTGGCCAAAAACAGTTGAATCAGTCAACAACCCATTGACCCGAGTGGTCGAATCGTCAACCAATTGACTTGTTAAATGGTTTTTGGATGTTTTTTTATTTTTTTAATTTTTGTTGTCAGAACGGGCCGTCCGTTCGAACCGAACGGTCGAACCGTTGACCCGAAAACCGATGGCCAGAACGGTTCCATTTTCGGGTCGTATGAGTCACATGCTCGAATGACATAACATCATGGTTTTTAAAACCGATCCGAAGACTGAACTGATCAAGGGTCCGGTTACCGGGTCGAACGGTTGGCCCAATCTGACAAAAAAATTAAGAAATAAAAAAAAATAAAATCAGTCAAAACCGTTTGAACGGTTTGATATCTAATTATTAATAATATTTATAATAAATATTATATATTTATATAATTAGATAATTATATATATATATATATCTAATTATCAAACAATATTTATATAATTAATAGGAAATGGGACTCAAGCGGTCAAACCATTGACCCGTTGTCCCGTAAAATGGTTTTTGTTTTTTTTTTTATTTTTTTAATTGGGAACCAACTAGGCAACCGGTTCCGTTTTATCCTAATCTCGGTCCCTGGAAAAAAATCGTTGAATCGGTCAACAACCCATTGACCCGTTCAATGGTTTTTGGTCTTTTTTTAATTTTTCTTGTTAGAACGGGCCATCCATTTAAACCGAACAGTCAAACGGTCGACCCAAAAACCAATGGCCTGATTTTGTTTTGAAGTCGTATGAGTCACACGCTCGAATGACATAACACGTATGGTACTACTTAATGGACCTCACACACTCAATTTTGTGCCTGTAATTTATGTTGTCAGAACGGGTTGTCCGTTTTTTTATTTTTTTAATTGGGAACCGTCTAGGCAACCAGTTCTGTTTTACCCCAATCCCGGTCCCTAGCAAAAAATCGTTGAATCGGTCAACGACCCATTGACCCGAGTGGTCGAACCGTCAACCCGTTCAATGGTTTTGGCCGTTTTCTATTTTTTAATTTTTGTTGTCAGAACAGGTTGTCCGTTCAAACCGGATGGTCGAACCGTCGACCCGAAAACAGGTGGCCAAAAGGGTTCCATTTTTAGGTCGTATGAGTCACACACGAATGAAATAATATCATGGTTTTTAAAACCGACCCAGTCAGAGGTCCGGTTACCGGGTCGAACAGTCCGACCATTCGAACCGAACGATTGACCCGTTCTAACAAAAAAAAAAGCGGTCAAAACTGTTCAATATCTAATTATTGACAATATTTATAATAACTATTATATATTTATATAATTAGATAGCTATTATATAATTAATAAAAAATGGATTGCTGCACGAGTAGCACGAAGAGAACACCCCAATCCTATTAATATATATAAACTTCAATTGGTTCACCTCTTGTATGTTGATTAACATAAACTGTTAAATCATGTATTTGTAATGTGTACATATCTTGTTGATAGCGAATTGAACTGTACAATTAGTGTTATTGATGTTTTTGTAAGATCTATGTATTTTTCTTACGGTATCGATCCAAACATATGTTAATTATTATTCCACCATTTTTAATTTCCTGATGTTTCTCAAATGCATTTCAATTGAGTGAGCTTAGTGGACTAGTGTGAGTCGGGTCATAAAAATGTTGGGCTCAGTGGTCGCCCTTAATTATGAGTGTTGAGATCATTACAAGACCACAAAACCAATGCTTTTGATGATGAAGCTAGTGGTAGGCTTGCGCTGAAATAATGTAACAAAATAATAATTGCTGCAGTCAAGACCTTTCATCCACTGGGGCTTCATCTGTGAAATATTTTTTAGCAAAACTTTTCAGCCCAAGAGAGTTGTTAAACAATAGAATTTTGATCGATAAAATCAGTTCTTGCATAGGTTTCAAATAACCCAGAAATCTCCTCCTCTGTTGGTTAATTAACAATTTCTTTTTCCAGAAAAATGTGAGATTTCCAAACAAACCAATCTTACACTAGTTTAATGTAAATAAGCTTGAAGAATAAATATTCAAAGTTCAAGATTTGCATGGAGAAAGAGGCTTCCCACACAGTCCTCTATTTCCAGAATAAGAACTCCAAGGAAAATCACTCAAAGGCTTGCCGGTTGGTATTTTTCCCACTAGAAGATTATCTGACAAATCCAACTCTTTCAGCTCTTTCAGCTTCAATAACCCATTTGGTATCTGACCTGAAAATCTGTTTCTCTGAAGCTTCAACTTCTCTAATGGGGTTACATTGGCCAGAGAATCTGGCAATGTGAAACCCAGCTCATTGTAGCTTAAATCCAAACCCCGCATTGAACCCAATTTCCCTACAGACATTGGCAATCTTCCTGTCAAATAGTTACGTGACAAGTTGAGATATTTTATGCTACATTGTGCTCCTACTCCAACTTGCTCGATTGTCCCGGAGAAGTTGTTGTGAGAAAGATCGACGTAAGTCAGTGATCCTTCAGGGAACCTGCTGCCAATCTTGAAAACCTCAACGATGGATCCTGTTAACTTATTTGAGTGAAGATCGAGCACACCCAGGTCTTGTAAGCTTGTGATGGTGTCGGGGATCTTTGAAACTAATGAATTCCTTGAGAGATTCAACGAGTAGAGCCTGGTTAGGCCACCCAACCACTCTGGAATACTTCCGGTCAGATGGTTGGATGATAAGTCTAACTCAAGTATTGGACTCGGAGTTGTTCGGAAGAAATCGGGAACTTCTCCTTGGATTCCTAACCCTGCCAACGATATCCGGCAAAGGGAGGGTATTTCCCCCAGCCATTTAGGAATGGGCGAGAGATTTAAACGGTTGAAGGAAAGATCAAGGGCTTGAAGGTTTTGGAGGGAAGACAGTTCATGGGGCAGTTGTCCTTCAATCAAATTGTTAGACAGGCTCAAGAACATTAACCGAGAGAGTCGACCAATCGACTGGGGTATCTGGCCTGATAACTTGTTTACATTGAGATTGATCTCTGTCAAATCTAACAGGTTTCCCAGAGTTGCAGGAATAGACCCCTCAAGCCTGTTATTGGCTAATGAAATTCTTTGGAGTGAAACCAGATTCCCTATGGTGGGTTGTATTCTACCACTTAGACGATTATCATGGAGTCTGAGGAAGCTAAGTGAAGGCATTTGTGCAGAGCTTGAAGGGAATGGGATTTCTCCCTCAAGCAAGTTTGTATCCAAATACAGAACTGAAACTGCAGTTAAGTTGGTTAAAGACAGAGGCAGCTTCCCATTCAACAGATTGTCTGAAAGGTCTAGTTCTTGTAAGACCTGTAATGCCCCTATTTTCTCAGGTATTTTCCCTGATAGAGAATTGCCATGAAGATCCAAAGTCAATAAATTCTTTAGGTTGGTAATAGACTCAGGAATGGGACCTGAAAACCTGTTTGAATATAAAAGAAGTCTGTTGAGATTTTGGAGCCTCCCAACGCTTGCGGGGATAGACCCAGATAACTTATTCTCGTGCAAGTGAAGTTCTTCGAGTCTCGAGAGCTTACCGATGCTTTCTGGGACAGGGCCGCCGAGGTTGTTGCAGTAGAGATAGAGTTTCCGGAGCTTCCTCAGGTGGTTACCGATCAACGGTGGGATGGTTCCGGCGAGACCAATGAGCCCACCAAGGTCGATGACTTGAAGAGAAGTGAGAAGAGTTATGGAAGGAGATAACCGGCCTTCCATGCTGGTTTGAACGATGAAGTCGTTCGTGGAGATGAAACCTGGAAGCCGGATTTCAGTCACTCTCCCAGTCTTGTTGTTGCAGTAGACACCTTCCCACTTGCAGCAGTTGTGACCCACCCACTTCTGCAGTCGACCGGAGACGTCGACATGGATTCCCGCCCTGAAACTGGTCAGGCCCATCAAATCTTGTGGGTCACACGCTTCGCCCACCATCCTCTTGCACTCTCCAACGTTTAGGACAATGAAGATAAGATGAATCCATGACAGCTGCTTACTACCCATCTCTGTCTGCAATGGAAGGAGGCTTCCTTCTTGGCGATACCTCACTGTTAGTGTTGTGTATTTAGACAGCAAGATAGTAAGAGAGAATTCAGTTGGGCCTATTGATGAAAATGGTGCAGAAGATTATTAAATTATATTAAACAAAAGAAACGGAGAGGCAGAGAGAGAAAATGTGATGGTCAAAGATTTTCATTTTGCTTTCTCTTTTTTTCATTGTTCTTTTCCTTTTTACAGTGTCAAAAGCACAAAACTGTCTGACTAATGCCGTTGGGTAGGAAGGGAATAACGTGATGCAGGTCTGTCTGTTTATTTTTCTGAGGAATCACAAAAAGAAATGAAATTTGACCAATATTTAAAACCATAGAGATCTATGATTCTATGGTGATCCAACTTGTAGGTAGACCACAGCCTAGACTGAAGACTCCAGAGGAATATCTGCCTCTATCAGGTTGGACTTGGAGTACTGAACGACAATGGTATACGGATGGTGATCCCCGGCCTTTGGCTTGAAGTCGTCGAGTAAACTGTTTGTGGGTTGTCTCGGTAGAGTGGTCAGTGGTCCTTGAATCAGTGTCCCAGACCTGACTGACTCCCTTCGTTTTTAATTCCTTTTTCCTTTTCTTTTATAGGTTGCCTATTTACCAGAGCCATTAGAAGATTCATTGAAAGTTGAAAAGTTCAGAGCTGAAGAGTTGAAACTTCCATGTTAATAGGTTGAAGGAGTTCTAGTGTTAGTTTAAAACTTCCCCTTGTTGTAGAGCTTCGGTCTGTCATTGGCTTCTTGGGCACTTCGAGGACTGACATTTGTTTAATTGTTTTTTCGGATTGCATGAAGGATCTCACAGTCGTCAGGATTGTTTAAAGAAAGCCATCTGTCGGCTACTGGCTTCTCTCCAATGTTTTCTTAACATAAGCACTACGAATCTCTACTACAGTTACATTCAAATTCAATATCTTGGGCTAAGGGCCATGTTTGGATTCACCATTTGAGTTGCCCATATAAAACATGCATGGCCCAGCATAACCTGCAGGATGCTAGTAGGGGCGATCATTTTCAACCCAGTCTGAAAAGCTAAAAAATTCTGGGTTTGGGCGTAGGTTTTGTGTTCAGTACTGACCTTGGCTCAACCCGATCTGCAATTTATTTATATAACACATATTTTATGCATACATAAATTTAGTCTAGAGTCCGTTTGGTTCACAGTTGAAATCATAATCGAAATCTCTCAAAATTAAAATTAACTGGAATGGGAGGGAATGACTATTCCACCAGAAATGGGAATGAAATTCTGATTCCGCCCAACCAAGCAGTTGGAATTGGAATTCTGATTCCACCGTTCCCACGAATCAAGCAGGCCTATATCATATAATATTTCAAAATTCATAGGGGGGTTGGTTGGTCAAAACCTTTCTGTAATCATTTGGCAGCATAGATTTTCCTTAATATAAATTGTAGCATATATTTTATGGATATATTATATAATGCCCGGACAGGCCCATGCAATGCTACCCCTAGATTTTAGTGAAAGAATTAGTTATGGTTTACCGGTGGTCCCAGCAAATAAGATGAAGGAAAATGAATAATTTCCTTGGAAAAAGATACTCAATAGGAAAATAAATAATGTTCATTATTTTTTTTCTAGTGTTTCACTTGGCTTGGAAAACAAACTTAAATAATTAATATATATGTTTCAAGTTATGAATCCAGAGGATCAATCTCAACTCGATTATTCTTTTGGAAAATGTTCATTTCTCACAACCATTTTACGTACAAGTAAAATAGCAATTTTCAAACAAGTCACTCGCTTTTAACATTCAAATAGCATCTATTAATTTATAACAATTGATAAAAGGATCAACCATATGTAGTATTGATGATGGGTAGACTTCCATGCACCTTTATCTTAAACTTTTGAGCAATAAACCATGTCTTCTGTTCCAACTCCCATCCAATTAAAAAAACATACATCCAGCTATTTCACTCAATGGTTCAATTGTATAGTTACATTGCACAATCACGTACAACCAGGCTGTGATGTGTCTATATTTGGCAGGTAACAACTGTTTTAAGTTCAACCCATGTAACTTAGACAGATTCAAATATTATATACAACCTAGGAAAAATCCCTACTCTAGATACAAAACTTGAGAAAACAAACCAAAACCTTGATGTTAACATACATTGCAACTCTGCCTACAATATCCGTAAGAGTCCTCAGAACCCACCATATAAATGGGGTTCTTTTCACACTCACCAATAGCAGCCCATCTTGGGCAATTGGCATTCTTGTCAACACATTCTTCGGTTGCCAATGGTTTATCAAAGGATCTCACATGAATCCACTTGGTCGCAGACCACTTCTCACCCTCAATGACAGGGCAACTACCATGCAAGCTCCTTGTATCAGTGGTTGCATTTGGATGGAGACTGAAAAACAGCAAAGCATCGCCCTTGATTGGTTTTACTGTCATTTGAATCAAACACGGATATATTAGCAGATGGTATTATATATGTTCAAATAATGCATTAAAATACTCAGTTAAACTAAATGAAACCCCATCCAACTATTCAAGATTGAATATAGGAATTCTATTTCCATGCATCCAATGCATCAGATTGTTGGTTCAGACATGATAGAGGCTGTGTTCAACAGACTGCATTTGCCACATATAAATGCAAGACAGGACAGTAGTGGAACATTTTTTCAATTCTACTCACTTGAAAATTGTAGTATGCCTTTCAGTTTCCCAAACTTCAGGCATCTGTCAAGTAGGAGGACTTGACATTTTTTCTTCCCTTCTCCCTCTACTCCCTAAAGCATTTTCAGATCTCTAAATTATTAGATGTGTCGAAGGTTTTTTCTCTTCTATCCCCTTCATTATGTATGTCATAAACTATGGTATACAGATAAGTAAGGATATGGGTGGACATCGTGTTGGACATAGAAGTGGGACAAAAAATTGAAGTGTCTGACATGACATAAAAACCCATACACAGGCATCTCAGTATCCTGTGTCATAAAATGTCAGAAGATTTTTTTTTTTTCAGAAAAGCTCCTAAAAAAGTAGGTAAAGGTATAAGCACTAACAAGAAAACTCATTTTTTAGTTCAAGATTGCATACCTGCATATCCATTCTTGGCACAATCAGACCAGCTGTCATCCTTTTCTTGCAACATTTTGTTCTGCAAATGATAAATGCAGTGTTAATGGCACAATGTATATCAAAATGAGTCATGGGGTTAAGAACTGCCGTACCTCTGCATCAGGAAATACTGTTTCTCCACCTTTACTGACATTTGATAAGTACATTAGTACTGTAGCAACTCGGTGCCCTCCCATCTCTTGATTGACCTTGTCATGAAAATAATCGAAATGGGGCTCATACTTCTGGCCAAGCTCGTAATGCAGTATTTGCATGGACTCCCCATTTTCTGATCACCAAATGTTCAAAATAAGGTTGGAGAATTTCTGAAGCTACAAGAAGAATTTGCAATAATGCTACCTTCTGGAAGGAAGGTCCAAGCAGCAATCCTGGCCTCGATACTTGCAACAATTTCATCCTTCAAAGGCAAAGTGAAAAAATATATAAGCTTCCTAAGATTTATAAAATCTAAGCCACATTATTCTTCACGAATGTCAGAACTATACTAGATGGCCTGACAATGCAATGGAATGTTTCCTATCTTTTTGTTGTTAGATTAAGAAAGGAATAATAATAAAAATGGTATACATCATGTCAATGGCTCAATGCTACATTAGTTTCATGGTTGATGTATGAAACCATCCTGAAAATACCAAAGAAAGATTATCTGCACTCAGAGAGAGCTGGAGTTCAGTCATAAATCATTTGACAATGCTAAGTTTACAGTTTACTTCATTTCGAGAAGTTGATTGGAACTGGGGAAGATCTGTATCAATCTCAGCACTTTTATTTCTGCAAAAGCTACTGATAGTTTGAGGGTAGAGATTGCCTAATTGGTGATTCCCCTCATAAAGCAAGTGGAATTTTGCTTATGGAGCTCCTTTATCCATGATCATCAGTAGGAAACTTATCTGTAGCAAGATAAAGCCAAGTACAAAAAGCAAGAAATTGCGGCCTTAAGATTTAATGGCTGAAAGGTCTCTGCACATGTATTAGTCACCACTAACATCAGAATAAGATGTCATCCCCCCAGTAGCCCTGTTTAGTTCTAGCTGCCCCTCAAAGAAGCAGGTGCTCTCATACACCTAACGGTATAAACTGAAGCCCCATATCAATAAATTTGTGCTGCAAATTTTTATAAATGACATAGCCACAACTTCTCCATAAGGTGGAAGGAAATCTATGTTAAGAAATTTGCACACAAAGTCATCTCAGTAGAAGCCCAATTTGGAGTCCTAATCATCACTGCAACAAGAATTAACCATTCAGTTACCAACCTAAAATGAAGAATAGGCAATCATAATATTGATATTACCTATAACCACAAAAAATAAATGTTGATCAGTTGTATTGTTGCTTCTTTAGTGGAAATTCTGATATTTTAGATCCTATCCATAATGACCAGGACTTTATATATTCCAAAGGCCTTTATTTTTGTTTCTTTTAAAAGTTGATAGGCCATCACTAGTGAACAAGCACCAATAAAAGGTAATTAGAAGTTAATAACCATAACATAGGTGTAAAACGTTAAGAATGCATAAAAAATAACCCGAACAGAAAACCTATAGAAGGAAAGATCTTGGATCGACTCGCACACCTCATCCCAGGCAAGTGCCTTTAGAAAAAGGCATTGCCTGGGTTCAAGCAAGGCACATCCACACATGTCTTAAAAATTAAAATGCACTAGCCTATTTGCCTAAACATGCCTAAGGTGTGCCATTTTTTTTTTTTTTTTGAGGGAAGTTTAACCAAATTTCATTAAAAGAAAAAGGAGTACATGAGAGGATGTGCAAAATAGGGGGAAACCCCAAAGAGCTTACAAAGGAGGAATTCTATCACTTACAAAGGTGTGACATTTAAAACACTATCTGAATGCTAATGTCATGTAAAATAGAGACGCATTTTTACAAATCTTATATATAATGGAATTATGCTATCTAAGGGTAAAAACATGTTCAAATCAGAGGATTCCATTTCATTTAATTTCTGAGAATCCTTTATGGAAATGAAGTTTGGCTTGGAAGTGCCCGTATCAATGGAGTCAGGGGATTCATTAAAAGAAAAAGGAGTACATGAGAGGATGTGCAAAATAGGGGGAAACCCCAAAGAGCTTACAAAGGAGGAAGTCTATCACTTACAAAGGTGTGACATTTAAAACACTATCTGAATGCTAATGTCATGTAAAATAGAGACGCATTTTTACAAATCTTATAGATAATGGAATTATGCTATCTAAGGATAAAAACATGTTCAAATCAGAGGATTCCATTTCATTTGATTTCTGAGAATCCTTTATGGAAATGAAGTTTGGCTTGGAAGTGCCCGTATCAATGGAGTCAGGGGAGCAAAATCATGTTAGCTTCAAAAGAGATACTCCTCAAAGGCCCAATCTTTGGTGTTCTTTTATGAGTTCAAGGATCTGTACAGGAGTGGATATGAAAGTTATGGATCCATTTCATTTCATCATTCATCAGGCATTCAATGCATATCATGCTTCCTCAATTCCTCCATTGGCAAGTAAAGAAATTATTAAATGGGTAAATTAATGTCTTCATTTTTTGTTAAAAAATTTGTTGGGTAAATTTGGCGCACATACGAAGGGTCTCTCTCGTACACAGGCAGAATTGTGCCTGTTATTCTCTCTGAGAGAACAAAGTGCCACTGCATAAGGCTTATTGCAAATATGACATCGGTTTAAGAAATTTATTTGCAGAGAGATAAGATTAACCTTACAAAATCAAGTAACATAGAACAGGAATTGCAATAGAAATAATTCCACAGTTTGAACACAGGAAAGCCACTGACCTGCTTTTTCTCAAGAAACATGCCAGAGCTCGTCCGAACTTCACTCGCTATGCTCTCTCCAGAGCCATCATCCGCCACCATTGACTTTTCTAGCTTGCCTCTCGCCTATTTCTCCACAGAAGAAATGAAAAGATAAAAAAAGAAAAGGAAAGAAAAAAACAGAGGATCGGCGATGACAGTTTTGGAATTAACCGGGGGTCCAAATGATATAGAAAATAAGAGAAAGAGAAGAGAAATAGAGAAAATATAATAGATGATTTCCACTCACCATAGAAATGAGGTGATCACACTCCTCTTCCGATAAAAAATTCTTATATATGAATGCCCTGCAGAGATGCAGGTATCACAAAATCAAGATCAATCGCTAGAATAAATTCATGCTTAAAGAATAACAACATACGAAATAAATAAAATACACACAGAGGCAAAAGATAAAGACCTGGGACGCCAAGAGAGTTGGATAACGCGTTTTTTATCAAAACCATAGGAAGGAGAGTCGCTCTTCAATCGGAGCACCAATCCATTACTGCAAAGAAAAACAAAACCAAATGTGACTACCAAATTTGTTTGCAATTTTCAGGGAGAGAGAGAGAGAGAGAGAAGGAGGGAAGGAGGGAGGTGTTAACAACCCTGAGACGTCGAGGGATGAATGAGCAATGTTGGGAACTGAGATGAGAACAAACAGAGAAAACGAGAGGAAAACGCGAAACGCCATTAGAACCATTAGAAGATGTTTGTTCAGGTCCTCTCTAAGGGCAGAGAGAGAAAGAGAGGGAGATGTTGTCGTTGTGCGCTTGGAGCTTGACGAGCGATGCAAGGGCGGAAGAAGTCGAGAACGAGAAGGAGACGGAATTTCCTGAAAGCAACACACCATTCAAGCGAAAAAGAGAGCGGGGACGATCTGCTGAGAATACTGGCGTGGCGAACCTGGCTACACAATCAATCACGGGCGTACACGTGGCAATGTTCGTATTTTTAGGTAATAAGTCCACGTGGCAAGATTCGGCTATGATAGCGAAAAAACTCGTTAGATCAACTAGTATCCTAAAACTGATAATCAATAGTGTGATTATTTATCAAATTACGGATTTTGATCTCGGTCAAAAGCCCTTCCCCTATGGCCCTATCATGTCTTTCCGACAGCGTAGATTTAAGATTTTAACTTTCGTCTTACATCTGGGTTTAGGTGATTAGGAGGCGCGGGCGCCCATCGGATTTCTTGTGTTTTTACTTTTTTACTTTCTCAAAGAATCTTTATTTTTCTTGACTTGATTTACCCCGCTTTTCCTCAGACAATTGTGACTCTTTAAACGTTCGATTCGTGTCAGAAATCGGAATGGACTCCTGGCTCGCTGGCTGCCGCGGTCCTGCCCTGCTGGCTGTCGGGCAGTTCAGCGGATTTAAAAGCCTGCCTGAATACCGAATACGGCTACCAGATTAGTTATTAGTACGCTTTACATGCCGTGTCCCCCGGGATTTCGCTTCGGATCTTGTGGTAAAACTTAAATCGGGTGACCCGCAATCCATTTGATTTTAGTAAATAGTAAGAGGGACCCGTACGTAACACGGGCTGGTGTTAAAGGATGTCACTCTTCCGTAAGAAGTTATTACACTTTTTAATTAGTCGTGTTACTCAGTAGCTTATTAGTCATAACTTTGTTTTACAATCATATGGAAAATTTTATGCTGCTGGGTAGACATGATACCGGAAGAGCTTTGATAAATAAAATGTCTTCGTGAATTTTGATAAATGCAAGCATGGTTTTTAAAATCGAATCGGTCTGGGGTCTGTGTACCAGTTCGAACGGACTGAACGGTCGGCCCATTTTGACAAAAAAATAAAAAATTTGGAAAACAGTTAAAACCATTTGAACGATTAATCAGCTAGTTCAGTGGTTTGCTGATCAAAATTAACGGTTTTGGGGAAAAACGGAACTAGTCAAGTGACCAGTTCTCAGTTTTTTCGGTCGGACCGTCCGGTCCGGTCTGGTTTTGAAACCCATGAATGCAAGTGATTGGTTGTCACTTGTCACATCTACGATATTAGTTTCTGGGTTGAACGGTTCCACCGTCTGATTCGAACAGACGGCCCACTCAAAAAAAAAATTAAAAATTAAAAAAAACCCAAAAATGGCTAAAAACCATTCCCGGATCAAAGTTTTCGATGGTTTGACTGCTTGGGTCAGTGGTTTGCTGATCAAATCAACGATTTTTGGCTAAATAGCAGTTTTGGGGTAAAACAAAACTGGTCATATGACAAGTTCCCAGTTTTTCTGATCCACCCGTCTAATCTGGTCCGGTTTTGAAAAAAATAATTCTAATTTTAACAAATGCTCAAATGGAATCCATTCAAATTACATCCCCTAATGCAATATGGCCCAATACAACTTGAACATAACATGCATGTATGTATGTATATATGTATATATACCCATTTGTGTAGTTATGTATTTATTAATAGATCTGTTCACGGGTCAGACTTATACTGTGCTAAGCCCCATTTAAATTTTTGCAAAAACCAAACCCGAGCACAGCCCATGAACATGTCTATTTATTAATATATCTATACATTAACAGTTTTAAGTTTAAAGCCAGGCAATAATTTTCAAGTATAACATGAGTATAATATGACTGAAGTGATGGATTTCACTCAAATCTTCCTGTTAATAAAACATAGCATGGAGATATTACTAATGCACGGCTGCAAATGTTGTGAAGACATGGTGGGACCATTTCTGTGAGGACTAAATCCGCATAGAGCACCATAACCATACTTATGCCTTTGATTATATAATAATGCTGAAGTGAATTAAACTTAGAACCATTGATTTCTGGTCTGTGGCCTTGTTGGCGTTCTTTGTTGCTTTTTCTTTGGCCTTTAATTAATGCCGTTCTTCTTTACAAAAAGAAAAAGGAAAAGAACAAAGACTATTGATTCTAAGTTAGAAATGAGAAGATTAATTTTAGGAAAAGGAAGTGAAAACAAATTGGCCAACTCCCAACCCCAAATCAGGGATTAGGTTAAGATAAGAGTAAGGATTGGGGGGTCTTGGGGGTTCAACAACTCAAAGAGGAGATTTGTTTTCTTCTTTTTGAGAAATCTATGATGTCAGAAAGACATGATATGATATTAGAAAGGCTTTAACAAATCAAAACCCCCATGAGCTTTGATGAAAATTGATCACTTGATTGATTACCACTTTTATGATTCCAGTTGATTAGTTATAAGTTTCTCCAGTATCAAGTCTTCGAACCCCCTTTTTTTACACTCAATTTTGATACAATACATCTCTTCTACATACTTTTTTTTTTTATTTTTAATTTTAATTTATTTAATATTTTATCAATAAAATAATTTTTTTATTTTTTAATTATTTTACTATCTTTTTTATTAAAATTAATATTTATTAGTTAATATTAATTTACCGATGCCTTTTTTAATTTATTTATCATATAAAATGAAAAAAGTAGACATTTATGATCAACTCTTTAATCATTCATAAAATATATATGAAATACATGGAATCAAAAAGTGTGGCACCTACAGAACTCCACTTTGGGTGTGGACTAGTCCAATCCACACAATTTGTCCACAGTTCAGAACAACTGTGAACTTTGGTATAGTATGGATTGGTTCTTGCCACAGAGTGTGGTGTGGACCAATCTACACCCACCAATTTCTCATCCCACACTACAAAATACATTCTAAAGTTCAATTTGAAAAACGTACAAATAAATACAAAATATAAGGTATTGCACTTGTACTCCTTCCATTAATCCAAACTGAGCCTAAATATTTTACTTTATCCAAAGGAAAAAAAATGAAAAAGGCTGTCAAGAAAGATCATTGTTGCCCACCTTCAAGGCTGAAAATGACAGCCAAAGCATTAGAGTAGATAATAAACATTAAACCAGCGTTCCTGCTTGGCCTTTAATAGTGCTTTTAGAACAGCCATAAGTTCAGCTTTCTTAGCTAAACCATGAGATTCAAAACAATCTCCTCTTGCACCAACAAAGCGACAATCAAGAGAGAAACATACAAAAGCTTCTCGCTGGGTTAATAGTACCCCAATTATGGAAGACACCATACTGAGGCAAATTAGGGGTTTAGGGCATGGTTTTCAAAATCGGACTGGACCGGATGGTCAGACTGGAAAAATCGGTAACCAGTTAGCCCCTCGGGTCCAGTTTTACTAAAAACCGGAAATTTCTAAAAATCATTGAAGAAGTCAGAAAATCGCAAACCCGGGTAGTCGGACAGCTAAACCGTTCAACCCGGGCAGCGGTTTGCGGGTTACCCTTTTATTTTCAATGTTTTAAATAAAATAAAACAAAAAATAAAATACCTTCTCCCCAACCTAGTCGAATGTTTAGTCCCTTTAGCTTTAGGGTTTCTTGAGTTCCCTCCTCTCAACCCTCACACCCAACCGACCACATGCGGCGGCTAGTACCTCCAACGTCCGACGGTGACCGACGACGACGAACTTGCAGGCAGTGGGCAGAACTTGCAGCCAGTAGTAAGAGTTGGCGGGCCTTGCGGCGGCTAGCACTTGCAGCGGCGAACAGCTAGCTTGCCTGCGACTAAATTTGCAGCGGTGGTCGGCGAGTTTGCAACGGGTGAGGGTTTTTAGTGGCAGTAACAGTTGCAACCACTTGCAGCGTCAATCACATGCGTCAATCAACAGGGATCTTGGGTCCTCTAAGTAGCATTCTAGAGATGTATATGGAAGAGTTCGACAACACCATGCTCATTAATGTGCAAGGGGTGGCATCAACGATTAAGCACGAAGATTGAGCTATGGTGGAGAGGCGGCTCAATCGTCTGCATTGAAACTATGGCAACGACCTTGAGTGGCTCTGCTCCTCGTTCATACACCATTTCTAAGCATGCATTGGTGGGGCTGGTCAGATTAGCCTGTAGTGAGCTGGGGCTCATGGCATCAGGGTCAACTACATCTCCCCTTTCGGAGTTGCTACCCCATTGGCTTGCAACTTGAAGGGCACTGTGTTAAAGCCTGCCCATATAGCAGAGGCTGCTTTGTTTCTTGCTTCAGAGGAAATAGATGGAGTACTCCACCATCCAACGAGAGAGAGAGAGAGAGAGAAGAGAGAGAGAGAGAGAGAGAGAGAGAGAGAGAGAGATTTACTATTGAAGTTTTATGGTTTTATTTTTTTGTATTTTTTAATTTTTGTGTTTTTTTATATTTTTTAAAAATTTTCCGTATTTTATTTTTATACTTTTATGTATTTTGCACTATATTACTTTTTATTTAGATAGTTTTATTTATTGTATTTTACTGTATTTTTTTTCTATTTTTTATTTAATTTTATACTATTTTTTATTATTTATAAATATATTTTTATTTTTAATTTATTTATGATGTCACGGGTTGAACCATTCGACCTGGACGATTGAACCGATTAACCAGAAACCGGTCCCCTAACTGATTCTGTTTCCAGTTCGTTTTTAAAAACCTTGGTTTAGGGTGCTGTAAAGTCTTAAAGATATTATGAAGAGGAACAACAAATGAAACAGTCCGGTCTGAATGCTTGTTTTCCCATTGTATAATAGCCCAAAAAAATTTTAGAAATAAGCCAATGAATAGAAGAAGTGGATTTATCGTTTAAAAGCTTTTGGTTGCAAGCACACCAGACCATTTCAAAAGAAAAAAAAAGGGAAATTGTCAAAAACTCACAATGAGTTTTCAGCATTTCTCTTAAATTCATCACAATTTTTCAAAACGTCTAAAACTCACCATGTGAGTGAGTTTTTATTTTCCAAAACTCACCTTCCGTTAGTGCACTGTTAATGTTTCTTAACAGAGGTGTCCACATCAGCATAAATAACAACTTTTATAACCAAATCACCCTTGAATGGCGAGTTAGAGG